TAACATCTATTAGCATTTGGGTTAACATGCTAATCAAGCTATCATTCATATTAAGATTTTGTTCTTATGTGAATCATGTTGGCTAGCAAACATTAGCTCACCATTAGCTTGCTACATCTGCATCTAGATGCAGACTAATTTTATATAACAACATTGTTAACTTGCTGCACTCCTTTCAGTATACCTCAGAGAGATATACTGTAGTATACTTCCATAGTCTGTTTTATGCCAGATGCCTTTCCTCATACAGCAAGTATTTCATCCATTTTATTAATATTTTCAATGTCACTTTTATAAACTATAACAATTTTTTAAGGGAATCATCTTTTCAGTACACACATGAATATGTGTTACTTTGAAAGATTTGTCACATGCAGTATTTGTTGGCATCCTGTCAGTTCTCAAGTGCTGATCCCTGTGTATCTCTGAAGGATTTGGAGCTGGGAGGACGCTGTAATGCCACTTGTCTTTGAGCATTCCCTTGAAGTCAGCACTATTGCATTAAGCTTTTGGTCTTCCTTAGGGCACCTTTTCATCAGGGCCCCTCTCTCACACACACATCCCTTCACTCCCACTCCCCCTTTAAAGTCCACCTATTGTCTTTAACAGCATTATAACGGTATCATTCCGCTCCTGCTGAGAGCCACAAAGACAAGAAATGCCAAATCCTAGAACATAGCAATCGGTGTGTGTGCCTGTGTGTGTGGTGTTCTTGAAAGCAATGCTAATGGGGCCTAAGACGCATTAAAAGTGACCCCAAACTGTAACAAAAGAGTTAATAATCCGTTTAGAAAACAATCAGATCTGTAGCCATGAGAAAAGCCCCCCGCTAAGTCTTTCTGTAAAGGAGGAGGAGGTGGGAACTTGGCGTTTTTTTCAGTCAGCAATCTTGTAGAACATGGCTTGTTTTCATCGCGTGCTCTATAGGGAATGATGGAACAGTATTTAATGGCCAGTTCCTAACTCTGTGGAGCCAATGAAAAGCAGCTTGGTTAAATTTTACAAGTGTTTTGCGACTTATTCAAAGAGGATTCAAAGTGACCCTTATGAGGGAGGTCAGGGTTGGTTAGCGGGCTCTTTCCACTGTAAATGGGGCCCCGATGGAGCCTTTAAAAAAACGATTAACAAACAAACGCTGGCACGCCCGTTAATTGCTAATGATGGGGCTTTGTCTAGTGTTTCCCCTCCAGGTTAAATCTTCTCCAAAGGTTTGATCCCAAGGCCAAAGGGGACATGTGCTGTCATCTGGTGCTAAAGGGCACGCAGGCTGGATCTTCCATTACCTCTTTTAATCACTGCTATCACAATGGCATAATTAAAGCAGAGAAGTCCATTTGTGATTGCAGCATCTCTGAGGTCACTGACAAGAGCAGCCATTGAAGGACAAAATATGCTCATCACTACAGAGATGATACTTCAGCATGATTCATATTTGTTTTTATGTACTTTTATGTATTTATTTTGCCATGTGCATTTTCCTTGACATGATAAATTATACTCCAACTTTTGTTTTGTATTACTTCTTACACAAGCAAACCAATACACTTTTATGCAACATGTCAAGGCCAAATGAAAATTATTTTACAAATAATGGGACCTAGACTATGAGACCCAGATTTTTTAAAGCTAAATAAATAAAACACAACCAATATGATATGAGTTAAAATGTTTCCTGAGCAATTTTTAGATGATCAAAATTATGTATAGTGTTTGTTTTATAGTGTATATTTAAACTCAAAAATATATTTCCGACAATGCATACCTCATGACAGTTGAATAACAGATTGAAATAATAAAAGAGGTAAAATAATTGATAAAACATTTTGTGACACAATTATTCATCTTGTCATGACGTTTCCTGCATATGAATCTTTGTTAACTATAAATGCATGAATGTTTATCTGTGTTTTTTTCACTGTGTAAATTAAGTAAAGACCTGAATAAAGGCCAGAATCTAATATGTCAAAGATGTTTCAAAAAGTCATCGACTCGTCAGTGCCATTTGCAGCACACAGTCTTGCATGGACACGTCCAACATGCTTTATTTAACTTTATTCTATTAGTCCATAATCCCTGCTTAGTTGATCTGTGTGCAAACAAGTGCAAACACTAATATAATACCACATGTTCTGGGAGTCCATTTTCATTTACCCCTGTGCCAATTCCCCCTCTGCCTCTCCACCACCATGCAGCCACCATCTTCAGTAGTAGCACTCTTATTTCAATGCTTCCTGCCTGTATAAGTTATTCCTTTGTCTAGCCCGGGCTAATAGCAGCGAATGGGATTCAAATAGAGTCAAGCTGCCTCCTGAGATCCCCTCAATCGTAGCGTCACCGTAAAGAGGGGAGGTCTGGGGCCAGTCTAAATATTTGGTAGTCTTAGCAGGTTCATGTTAAAACACACACACACACACACACACACACACACACACACACACACACACACACACACACACACACACTGACTGAATGCACAAGCGGGCTGCGTGGCTGTGAAGTTGAATGGCATAGCTTAAAGCCTTCCTCCCCCCTTATCCATGACTCTCTCTCTCGCATGCGCTCTCTCTCTCTTTCTCTCTCTCTCTCCCTCTAAACCGCCAAACCATTCTACCCCTCTTTTTTCCAGCTCAGAGGAATTCATTAACTGCCTGTCCGTAGAGACACTATGGAAATCAGGTTAGCTACAAAGGCAGCGAGAGAGGCAGGCAGGGAGGATGGAGCAGAGGAGGGCCGCCGCTGCTCAATGGGCCTATATTATCCTATTAGATGGTGGATATGTCTCGTTTCCCTCCCCTGTCATGAGAAAAACATTAATTTTAAGTGAGAAGAGAGGAGAGAGAGAGAGAAAGACAGAGAGAGAGAGGGAGGGAAGGAATGGTGAGGGTCTTTAACATTGCTCTTTTATGGAAGGGTCCCCTGGCGTCGTTTACCTTGGCAATGAGAAAGAAGGGAGGCGCTATCCATGAATGCCATTTAAAATGCCATGGAGATTAAGCATCCTCACACAAACACTCACACGCACACACCATGCATTTTGAGGACATCACATTGACTCAGGTTCATTTTCTGAAGACAGATCAACAGTACCCATAATTATACTTGCATAACCTTAATCTAAATCCTAACTTAACCTGTATATTAACATTAAAATCATGTTGTTTTTACGTCATAGAGACATTATTTTTGTTCACATAAAGGGTACAGGTCCAAATTACAGTATGTGAATGTGTGTACAGTCCCTACAATGTGATAAATACCCACCCTTGCATACAGAGGGGTGCGTCATAATGTGTGTGTGTTTAGAAAAGGGAAAAATAGCTTTGAGATTCATGAGTAAAGCCCTCTATGGTTCCAGCGCACGAGGGAGAAGGGAGAGTAGAGAGAGGACCAGCGCTGAGCCAGAGCGGGTTTTAAATGGTGTAATTAAATCATTAGACACACACACATACACATACACACACATACACACATACACAAACACTTCATCCTTCCTCTCCCCCTCCTCTCTCTCTCCTCCGATCCTCTCCATCAGGGGCTGTGCGGTGAAATGATGAATCTGTATTTATGGAAGAGGAGTAATTACATGGCTAACCTCTGAGGAAACCCAGGAGGACCAAAGGGTGAGGGAGGGGGCGCAGGGTGCTCAACCTCATTAGCACTGCCACCGCCCCATACGTGTGTGTCAGCCTACTGTGTGTGTGTGTGTGAGAGAGAGAGAGACAGATAGGCTACTGATTTCATATTTACAGCTATTGATGAGTTATATCAATCTGCATTATGCTCTCTTCATGTGGGGATTTAATGTTGACCTTAAAAGGGTGAATGGGTTTCAGATTTTTCAGTAGTAAAATGACAAGCTGTCCTTGTGCCTATATTCTGCTAAAAGAAAATAGCAAAATAAGAAAATAAACGCCAGAAAGAATTGATCTTAATGCTCACAAGACATAAAAAAATCTGTCTTAAAACTGACCATAAAAAATAAAAATGTGTGACGTTCCTAAGTATTTTTTTTACATTGTTCACTGAGAAATGGTTAGGTTATTTATATATTTTTTGTTTATTAAAAGTTGTCTTGTGAAATTATTTTACTGATTGATGCATCATTTGAGATAGACTAACAAGGGACTTTCTAGGCTGCTAAGCTCGTACTTCTGACATATTGTGTAATTATGAGATCGCTTTTCATCGCAGCTGCTGTAATAGGCCTGACACAAATGCGCCACAGTCTAAAACAAACGCGCTCCAATATGTCCATCTCCGAGGCTCCAGAGTACAGTAGTCTATTCTTCTCCACTAACATCTGTCAGTTTCCACTCCACGGCCCCGCGTGGCTCTCATCTCCGCCGTCTCTTATCCTCGTCAATCTCTGTCATTACCTGCAGCCAACAAATATGCATCCGTGACTTCCGCCGATAATCACGGCCGTTCCTCTGGGTCTGACCGACCATATCGATGCCCCTGGCCCATCTGCTGGGCACAAGCTCACACTTATAGGCTATGCACACACTACAGGTATCAATTATGGTAATGTGTGTAGCTGATACTATATAGAAGGCTTATGTAAGAAATACGTGTTTGCTGCGTAATTAATCCATTATTTACAATAATAAATAACAGTGACCACAGTGCGCACGCAGCGCACACTTCACAGGTTTCAGTCCTGTGGACACAGCGCACACGTGAGATCACAAACACACGCGCACGAGCATTAGCGCGCGCGCGCGCACACACACAGTCGACCCGGGCTAACCAATGCACTAATCGCCTGCCCCGGGCATAGGAGGAGCCTGGTGCTTAAGTAGGCTGCCAATCAGTCAGTCAGCTCCACATCCAGCAGCTCCCACGGCCAGAAGCACGCACCACTCAGCGCGCACAAGGGGACAAGGGAGGCTGACACTTTCTGAAAGAACTCTGGTGATTTAACCAGCCTCGTTGACTTCGCTTCTTGGGAATTGCTTCATTGTGACTTTGCCTTTTTTGGGAACGCTTTGCTTTTGGACATGTCTTTCCCTCAACTGGGATACCCCCAGTTTCTCGGTGCCTCCTCTCACGAGATGTACACCGGAGAGCGCCCGGCGTCTGCCAGGGAAGGAAGTGCAGATAGCGGCGTGAGCTCGCCCACCAACGCCGTAGCAGCTGCTGCCGCGGTGGGCTCTATGCTGGGAATGTACGCAAGTCCTTGGGCGCCTCACAACTACAGTGCCTTTCTTCCGTACAGCGGCAACACGGACCTCGCGCTGCTCTCACAGATGGTGAGTTTACTCACTGAGGGGTCAGATGTGACAGTAAACAGTCAATACAGTTAACGCGCCACTCAGGCACCTGTGCATAAAACTCTAGGATGCCGTTGGCACAACACGCCATAGGAAAGTGTTCCGGGATTGAAACTGAAATGATCCTATTTTGAAATTCGCGTGATTTATTTGTGATGTGTCAATTTAAAATGTCACAACATTTTTCAAAATACATTTAATGCTTTAATACTGCCCCATTTATTTTCCGTAATTAATTTGATATATTTTCAAAATAACAGACTTAATGTGCAAGTTTGTGGATTTAAACTCGTTTACAGTGAGTTCAGTTCAACTCACTTACAATAGAGCGTATGGAAATATAAAATATACCAAATACTTAATTAATTCATAAAATATAAATGTTAGGCATGTATGTTCCGTCTATTGTACGCTAATTTGCGTGACTTGTGTATTGATGTTTAATTACGCATGCTAAGTTACTTGTAACATTTAAAATCAGTGGCTCAACAAGTTGTGTGTCTGGGTCCAGGGCTCTCAGTATGACCTGAAGGACAGCCCAGGCGCGCACCCTGCCTCGCTCCCCGTGCACGCGGCTCAAGGCTTCTATCCTTACGGCCAGTACCCGTACGCGGACCCCAGCAGAACCAAGACCGCAACACGAGAGACCACCAGCACGCTGAAGGCCTGGCTCCAGGAGCATCAGAAGAACCCCTACCCCACTAAAGGAGAGAAGATCATGTTAGCCATCATCACAAGGATGACCCTCACACAGGTGAGACCACACAGCGAGTAAAATGAATTTTTGATTATTTATAACATTGAAAACAAAAGTAGTATTTTCTGTACATTCAGGCCTATATGATTGGAGAATTGGCTGATTGACGCCTAATTGGCAAATCTATTAATAGTTAATAAATAAAGTTAATAACGCCAATATGAAATTCAGGGAAAGATTCTAGGCAAAGGCAAAAATATTCCTTATTGAAACTATTGATTACAGGTATCCACGTGGTTCGCCAACGCTCGACGGCGCCTGAAGAAGGAGAACAAGGTGACATGGGGGCGCAGTGCCGAGGACCGTGACGGACGCATCTTTAGCAGCGACAACGAGGACGAGCCGGGAAAAACCGGCAGTGACGAGGACGAGGAGATCGACCTGGAGACTGTAGATCTGGAGCGACCGGAGGATCAGCCGCAACGGGGAGCGGATGAAGCACAGGCGGGAGGCCTTAGCAGAGAGGCCTCGGAGAACAGCAGAACTCAGTCTGGGGAAGGCCTCAGGGCCGAGAGTGAGGCCGGTGTTCCTCATAATAAAGCCGCTCCGGAGCGTTCTCCAAGCGCTAACGAGTGCCACAGAGCGCCACAGAGCAAACCCAAAATCTGGTCCCTGGCTGAGACAGCCACGACCCCGGACAGCACACCCAAAGCACCTGCACACGGAGCACTGGGATCCGCGGGACACCCGGCCTTGCTGCCCGGTCATGGGATTTACACATGTCATATCGGCAAGCTGCACAATTGGGCCAACTCAGCGTTTCTGAACGCTAATTCATTATTGAACATGAGGTCTCTTTTGGCCACCCCTTCTGCAGCCCACGCGCACCTGCCGCTCCATAGCGCGGTTACGGCTGCGCGCCATGACGCACGAGTGACAGCGCGGGGGCCAGGCACCTCAGGCACAGAAGACGACAGCGATGTGGAGTCATCAGGAAGCTTCAGCCCAAAAAGAGACGGTAGGTTATGAAAGGCCCCTTAATATCATTATTTATAGCGCTAAATGTTTATTTCTATAAAATCCACGTGAATTCATGAGTTGATCGTTTTTTCTTTCTTTCTCAGAGGAAGAGAGTGACCACAGGCCCGACTCAGTCAAATCCTCGTTCCAGTTGATCACTGACAGGTGAGTGTGAAATCTATTTGCTTGAGAACATGCGCTCTCTTCTCTGGTCGCTGTTCCAGCTGACTGCGCCCACATAAATCATGTGATTGAGTCCCATTTTAACGCTCCATCACACTCACATAGATTCATCCCGGGGGCCACATAAGCGCAGCTATCACCTGTGTTATAGAAATAATGAGCTGCCATTTATTCACGCCCACTGCAGAGCATCTAATGTGTGTCACTGTGAACATCGCTGAGAGCAGCGTTAGCAGCCAGGCGCCAGGGAGACAATGTTTTATACTCTAATGTTTGATTTAACCCCAGATTAGACACACTGTGAACAGTGGTCACATTTATATGTTATATTTACATGACCTGTGCTTTTTTCTTATTCAGACCTCACCATGGAGCACAGAGAGCCCTGACAACGACACTATGAGACAACCATGCATAAAGAAGAGATCATTTTATTTAACAAGAGCGGTTTATGAAGGATATTTTGTGGCAGGAAACCTGCCCTATAGTATTATTATAATTATTATAATTATTATTATGACTGTTTGGATATATTTCAAAAGTTGTTTTGTCGGATTTGCCTGTGTTCCCCTTGTTTGTCCTCTGTTGTATTTTTGTTCTTCCTTTTTATTGTGATTGGGATATCTGAGAATTGTAAATATGGGATATGGATTTGTCTTTAAAGAATATATTTTTTGGACACTAAATAAATGTCATTATTATTAGTCATCTATTTCAGATGAGTTTTTATTGGAGAAACTGCTCATAATTTCATTTATAATGAAATGTAATTTATTTTTAGTATAATGTTTTACTAACATTAGCTCTCCATATTTTCAAGAAATTCCACAGTATGTGCCTTTTTGGAAGCCCAAATATTTATTATTAAATATTATGTGCGCAAAAGCAGTAAGGTGTGCTCATAATTACAACTGCTTTAATTCCTTTCCTTTTGATGTCAACTTAGAAGTACTTTCGTCAGGAGTTATATTAATTGTAATGTAGATCTAGATTGGTTAGACTCATTCAGTATCATTTTGAATTGCTTTAATAATTGAAATAATTGAATGTAATTGAAAAAAAAAAGTCATTAATAATATTCAATAATTAATTGTATCTGGGCTTGAACTCTAAAATGTTTATGATCAATTATGTTCTTAATTGTGAGAAAATGACCAGCAAAAATCTACTTAATTAATAGCCTATTTTATTCTAAATATAGTAGACCTATTTTGTATTTTATTCTAAATTTGTCATGTGTGTTTTTTTATTTTTCAATTTTTTTTGTCCAAAGTAAACGATTCCTTGATTTCTACCTTTTCTTTTACCGTACATTTGAATGTATTTTTCCTATAAACTAATCATATAATATGATGACCAACATTTTCTGAAGTCACGGGTACACAGCCCGTGCTCCCGTGCTCCAGTTTGCTTCAAATGATCCATCTCTTGACCCTTACATCTCTGTGTCACGTCTCCTTACTCCTTCGCCAGGTAATTCGCGGTGTCAGCCCTCTCCTGAAGGAAGCCATTGAAATCCACTCTCTCTCGCCCAAAATCCCGCGACTTATGCCAACGCCTTGGAAGCCACTCGCAAACGCTGGGAGGAAATTGAAGCTGAAGATTTCCAGGACCTTGTGAATGTTCGCCTGTGCTCGGAGCCAGGCCCTGGGTGCTTTAATGTTGGATTATACCCCCTCTGTGCACCGCTGCCTCCTCTGAAATATGGATCAGACGGCAGGAAAAGGCCAGCTGCCGGTATGGGGCAGGCAGAGCGGCATGGGAGAGGAGAGGCAGAGTGTATCACCATCGCGCTCTTACAGCACAAGGCAGGGGTCCGGGGAGAGGGCCAGGCAGGGGGCTGAGCACTGATAATGCCAAGGATTTCTCAAAGTCCCTTTTCCAGCATTGTGGTCACTGCTTAGACTCGTTAATTTGGTTATGTGTTATAGTTAGGAGCATATGGGGAGCACTGCATAAAAAGCTTATTCCTTATTTTCAGAATAGTTCAGCTGTTTATCCAGCTTCATATTGATCAACAAATACATTTTTGTTCTTTTTTGATGTTAAACAAAAAGTCCCACCGTTCACAAACAACTGACAGTTTCAGATTTAAAAATTTGATGTGTCTCTTTATTCATGAAAGTTGACCATGGAGTTAAATATGATCACTGAATACAATCTTTTCAGTTTTGACAGTTTTCTGTAGTTTGCAGAACATTTTTAATGGAGAGGCTGAGAAAAATTGGAATTTGTGTAAAAAATCGCCTTTTTATTATTATTTTATTATTTTTATTTAATTTTATTTTCAGGCAAAATTGCTCAGCCATACCTACAACTCTATTTTCTACAAAATTCTGCATTTTAACTTTATTAATTTTATCTTCCCCAGTATTGGATATCTGTAGTAAACATTATTGGCCTTTAGAACGTTGTGATGTCATCTGAAACCCAACAATTATTAAACGAAGAAACACAAAGGTCACTAATAATTTACACATTTGTAAAATCATTTGTCCATAGTAAACAGCAGTCATTATAGTCTCAAGATTCTTAACAGTTCCCGAAATATCCTTCCCTGTATCCACTCATCCATTAGAATTGTATAGCTGTCCCAAACCCCATACCGGCCGGAGATGATGCAGTGAGACTGGAGTCATAACTGAAGTAGGAGCAATGTGGAGTGGATCCAGACACTTGAGGCCCTTATTACTTCCTGTGCCAACTGTGACAGACTGCCACCACACTGCTGTCCCATACACACCGCCCAGCCTTCAAACTACCCAACAATATGTTATTCTTTCAAACTTGGAAATCGACTAGCTTAGCGTGATAGGGCTGAAATCACATCAATGGCTTGTTTCATCACTTATTGCGTCCACAACATGTTCGGATATGAAAGGTGGTGAGCAGACTTTGGATGAGAATTCTTTGGCGAGAGTGACTTGAAAGTTCTACCAAGTTTGGACTATTTTTTCTTGCACCAAAACTTTGTCGACCAGAAATAGAACAAGCTACAGTTATGTGGGAGGAAAACATGCTTTATTTAGAGACGCCATGAAGCCTTTTCCAGTTTTTTGTCATTGGGAACCAAAAACATCCAAGTTCTTTTAATATGCATTTTAAGTGTTTTCACTTTTGTTATTTTATATTTTATTTAAATACATAAGATCAAGAAACAGTGCCAGTTTCAAAGCAGTTGTATTTCTCATAGTTCTGGCAAATGTCTCTTACACCTTGAAGTATAAAGCAGCTATTTGTGCACAGAAGAAATATTGCTTATATTTTTGAAATGCTATTGTTGGATGAGAACCATTTGGAAGCAACAGCCAGTGAATATTCCTGGCAGTTTTTTCCCTGTGGTTCAACATCTCTTCAGGAGTATTACTAGTGTGGTTCATCAGACAGTTTCACTTTGTGGAAACTGTCTGACCTCGCAGCATTAAGATTTGTTCGCTCGACTGTAGGCGGGTACTTTTTTATTTAACCAATCACCTCTATTTAGTCGTGACGTATGTAAAGCGCCGCCAACTGGGCTAACTGGTATATTAAGCTTTTAACAAATCCCGTAGGAAGAAGGGCAATAATGTCTTTCCCCTTGATAAAATTCACCAAACATTCTCTTTGTTTTCCGGCTTTAAATCCTCGATCTCTGGAATCGTTGGCAACACAAAATGTATGGCTTTGTCTACACCCATCTTGACCGCTTTGTTTACTGTTGTGCTGTACCACAAAAAGGGACCCAGTCATCGCTTCATAGCTCTTCACTGACTGGCCAGTGCGCGGTCTTGAACTTCCAGGGTTCTTGCAAACCATCCAGTGTATTCCGATTCCTGACCTAGTCGCTGGAGAGAAATAAAATTGAGCGGAGGCACTAGGTGGCGCCACCCTGGCTAGGGTATTATAGCAATACACTTGAAATACTAACTTTTACAGTGGGTGAGACTAAACGTTATTTCAGAAACATGTTCTTTGCAGGCCCTTAAATTAACCTGAATTTAACAGTGTCTAAAATAATGATGCTGAGATGCTTTGTATACCCACACCAATGCCATTTTTAAAAACCTGATTTCATTCTTCTTAGGACTCACATAAGGTTAAAATGTGTGTAAAAAGCTTGAATGTCAAAAACTACCATTATTAGCTGTTGATACTAAATGCCTATAGAAATGCCCTAGCCATGAACAGCCTAAAAACTGCTGGGTCAGTATGGTAGATACATGGACATCTGATTTGAGTGTCAGAATTTGTTTAAATGAAAGCTAAGTTTAGTATTTAGCATCCTTAGCATCCTATAATCTACAATGGCAAGCTGGAAAGTATAAACATATAAAAAATTATTATGATGTACATGTCATAAATGTTTACCTACATAAACCTTAAAGACACCCTCCTGACAACACAAACTGCAATGACATTTTCCTGTTTCCTCAAACTTGATAAAGAGGCAAAAGTGAACAAAACATGTGAGTGACAAGCGGGGATTATACTATAGTTGTGTTTCTTAAAGTGCAGAATATCCTCGCTTCACTGGTGAGCCCCTCAAACTCTCAGTGTGAATGGAGTCTTCATTGGCGCTTTAGTATTCTGTTATGGGCCCTTTGGTGCTCCCTAATCCCTATTAAAGATCCAGATTATGAGCTGGATTTGCCTTTGATTCTCCTGTCCCACTGCTCCTTTCTGCTCCACATTGTATTTACGTATGTGCCTTCCTCTCTCCTGCACCCTTCGCTTGTCAGGACTTTAGACAATGACGGACTCCATGACATCCCCCCTACTCTCTTGTGGGACTATGACCACATGTATGAGCTACCCTGGACATTTGAATAGATTTGTTTAAGGTGGGTGAGAGTCGGCATGGGGGTGAGGTCCCTGCCACTGCTCCTGCCACAGCCCACATATAATCAGGCTTATGTAAAGATGATGTGCTCTTTTGACAGTCATCAGCTCATCAGTGATCCAATCAAGGGCCCAAATCTTCCATTGTGTGAGCCTCAAAGTGCCTGAAATCCGCTTGTGCAGGCGAGAGGGGCCTACACTCTTTATCCTGCCAATCACTCCTGACATTCCTCCCACTGTTGCCATGGCCCAGGGTCAGAGGTCGTGAAAACATAGAACATGAGCTGACTCGGGGAAGAATAGTGAAGAGCTCCGAAAGAGACTCTCAACGCAACTGGGCCATTGGTCGGTGAAGGCAGGGGGTAAATGCGGACAAGTTAGTGGTGTATAGCCCCGCTGAGAGGGCGACAGAAAGAGACAGAGCAGGTCAGTGGAGGAGAGAAGGATGGAAAGACAGTGAAGAAGAAGTGGATGAGGAGGTAGTGAAAGAAAAAGCATGGAGATGAGAAAAGGGCAAAGAGATGTGTGGAGAAACAGACTTAAAGAGCAACAGTGTTTGATTGCCAAACAAGCTTTAGGGAGCAT